TCAGAAGCAATAATCAATTCATGTGAAAAAGTGTTTAGTCCGTTCGAAAAGATAATTGATTGATCCAAATTGCCCTAACAAGAGATTTTTCTGGCCCTCCAATGGCGTCGTATATTTATGTAGCAAAGTTGCCGATTGTTTTTTTCTTTGTAAAATTTTGGTCTTTTCTACAGTTGTGACCTTACCCTAATTACGAAATGTTAATGCATATTTTTATCAACAGTTCGTTTTTAAAAAAGCTTGATTTTGAATGCATTGGAATATGGACCCATAGAAAAAATATATATATTTACAATCTATGCAACCTTTTGTGGAACATAATTTTTTTTTTTTTTTTTTTTTTTTTTTTTTTTTTTTTTGTGTGATAATGGATTTACAATTTCTAATTTCTGGTTTAATGTTAAAAAACCACAGATCAGAAGTACATGTTTTATAGGCAATTTGACAAGTAGGGAATAATTATGCTTCAGCGAAATTCTCCGAATCTTTTTCTATTTAAAATCTCCAGAAAAAGACGAAAACACCCACCCTCTTATAGACCCGGAAAATTAAGATCTGTAAAAAAAATTCATTAGATAATCCTTATTATGATTTTTTTTTTTTTTTACTTTTTGTTAGTTGTATCTAACAATTATAGATCTGCCTCGAGATGACAATACCTCCTACAGCTGTGTGTTCAGTTTTCCTAATGGTGATAAAAGAATACCCGCAGCTCGTCAGTGGAGTTCTGGTATTGAGTGTACAAACCCTAATGTCGATGATCTAAAACCCATCTTCAACAGCAGTCTGGGTAAAAACATTAATTAACACAAAGGGGTTTTATTTTCGTTGAATCCTCAATTTCAGAGCCAAAATTATTTAATTCTTAAATTTGAATAATTGTATCTTTAAAAGAAAACTGTTTCTTTTTATTTTTTGTTTCATTTCTATTTCTTTCATTTTTCTTTCTTTCTTTTTCCCCCCTTTTTTGGCCTGAAGGTTTTTGAGGAGTAGGATGAAGCGTGTTTTTTTCCATTTTAAAGAAAACGTAATTTTAGAATTCCATTCTTAAAAAAAAGAAAAACAAGAAAGTTTTTAAAATTGTCAAGTGGATTTGATTTTGACAGGACCGATTTATACGGCGCAGTTAACCTAGAGTTGTACGTGTTACTTATAATCCAACAATGGTCATTCGAAAAGTTGAAGTCAAATATGAAGATAACAAACAGTGTTCAATCTCGAAAGTCCAATAAACCGATACAAATTTGGAGCAGAGCAAACACTGACCTCAAAATTTACAGGTGGTATCATGTGCTATGGAGGAGACAAAGGATATAAAACATATAACTTATTTCTAAAATGTGAATGTGGATTGTATATATAATCCATTTTTCATTGTATTCCCTGATGCTGGATATCTCGTGCACAGGGGCTTCCTGGTATACAAAAACCATTTCAATTACTCTCAGAAATTAAACGTCAGAAGTTTTCTAATCAAAGGATGGCAATTAAATATCACTAAGTATCACTTTGCTTTTACCTCAGAAATTTGTACCATTTTATTTCCCGAATTCTTAAACAGAGAGAGAGAGAGAGAGAGAGAGAGAGAGAGAGAGTTTTGCCCAATGCACCATGTAAAATTTTATGAACGGTATGTGTATACGTTATAATGAACACCACATGTCCAGATTTCTTGAACATCAGACTACATATTCAAATTAAGCATGTCGAGCTTTCTTCACCTGCAAACTTAGGAAGAGTAAGCGTGAATTTTTTTTCAGTTATTGAGACAACCAGACCTGTAAATTTGGGAAGAGTCGGCATGAAGTGCCAAAGATACTTAAAAATATATCTGTTATTGAGAGAAACAAAAGGAAAAAGTTGATCTGAAGATATAAATATTCCTAACTTCATTTCTAATAAATACATTAGGATAACTAGGTTAAATTCATTGAGAAATGAAATTGCTTGGTCACTTCATAATATCTTGAAAATCAGGAAGGACATGGAAAGAATGTAACGTCAAGCTGATAAACGAACTAATAATAGATTTTTGAAAAGGACTTTTTACTGGTATTCTTTTCCAATATAATAATCTTCCCATAAAAAGAGCACTACAGTTATCTATTGTTAATTACAGTTACTATAGTATTATAGCTTACAATATAGTAAATCAAAGTATTTTTACTATGGATTTCAGATTGTTATATTTCATATTCTCCACTTCATACATGCACATTTTTATATTAAGTGGAACTATTACATGTGTATTAACTTATTATTTCAAAATTTTTGAATCACTGATATCGATTGCAAGAGATTATAGCCTCTGAATTCTCAAAAAAATTCTCGAGTAGAGTTTCATAGTAGATCTATAGTAAACTTAGTTAACTACGGTAAACTTTATAAAGTTAAGGTTGATAAGCAAGTTCTTTTTCAGATCTAGAAGACATTTTTAGAGCTTTTAAAAAAGTATCTCAAATTTCACACGCAAGTAAATTCCTTTGTTCAACAATTTCAAGTGGATAACATTGATTTACCATTTATGTACCATTTTGACATTCTCTCACCTTTTCTCTTCTCTAAAAAAAAAACAATAATTTTTATCCACTTTATCCACATTAATCTGTAGCTCTCATGATCTACATTGATTATATTTCAATTGATCAAAAGGATCAGATGGATGTTGAAATATCGATATGTAAACCATCTATACTTCTGTCTTCGATAATTCAGAAGTAAGAAAAGAATAAGATACATTACACAATCAATATGTGCTGGTCCCAGCTAACAAAGCAGTTAACAACATTGTCTTTGTTTTTAAAGCTCATTATTTTGATTGTATTTTAGAGAAACTTTGATTGATTTTTGCAAATGGTAATCTAACTTATAGTCCCCTTTATAAGGAGGAAATTCTTCAAAATCATACGTAATTTTTAAAATATACTTGAGTTTCTGATTGACAATATTTATGTAGTTCTTGAATATTAAGTCTTCCGACAATCTGTTGGAATTCTCATGGGTACTAATTGCGCCATGTTATTAGCACATTATTTTTGTAATCATATGAAGCAGCATTTTATCAAAAATGCCTACATGAAAAGAAGAAATTTCTTTCTGTGGCCTTCAATTCAAGATTTAGATATATTGACGAAGTTTTATCAATTAACAAAACTCATTTTCATTGTTACGTTGATATATCTCTTTCAACTTGAAAAGAAAGACGCCACAAAGTCAGGCACATCTGTTTCATATTTGTATATTTTACTAGAAAAAAAATACTGATGGCAAACTAATAACAAACTTTATGATAAACGTGGTGGCCTCAACTTTTCTATCGTCAACTTCATTATTTATGTAGCAATATACAATTGTCACCTGCATATGGAGTTTATACCTCTCAGTTGATTCGATACGTAAGGGCATGCTCTACGTACAAACAATTCCTAAAACGAGGCAAATTATTGCCAAATACGTTGATGATGTTAGGATATCAACGGTCTCGTTAAAAGTGAACATTTCGCAAATTCTATTCGATACAATGTCCTTGTCAGCAAATGCAATTTGTCGTTAAATCGAATGTTGACTGACGTTTTTTTTTATACAAATTGTTTGGCCATTATTTTCACACTGAATTTTCTACCAATTTTTTTCCGTTTGATCGATCATGACAAGGAACAATCGGCGTGTGTGTCCGGTCGACAGGGGATGCCTACTCATCCATGACATCTGATCCCACATCTGATGTTTAATATACTGGCCCGTGTTTTCTCTGCTCACAATCTGTATTGTCTCTAGAGACTTTCGAGCTTGATAACTTTTCGTTATCTTGATATTTTATTCAACGGTGATTGAAGACTAACAACTGTTTCAGTCAAAGTTCCAGATTATCTGCGCTCACTAAAAACAAAATGATAACATTTGGTACACATCCAGACTTTAAAGAATAATTTTAAAAATAATTTACATATTAAGGTTGATTCAATTAAAATGGGTGGAAGTACATCACCGTGCAACAAACCAAGACTGCTGGTAAAAAATCACCCAATAAACGTTCCAAAGTTTCACATGCTATTACATTTGTATATAATCCTTAAAACACACGTAAGAGTTAACCTTGAAGTCAATTTATGGAATCCAACTTTTTGACTTTTTCAACCCAAGCTTAGGTCTATTGGCAAGTCGTACTTTTTTTTAAATAATCAGTACAGTCTTTTGTTCTTTGTAAATGCGGTACTAATTACAGTACATGTATGTAGTGCCAATTGACATCAGTAGTAATACATTTCGATCTCAAACCAAATTGTGCATCAGTAACAACATTATAACATTCTGACTATGAAACAAAGTATATTAAGACAGAGATAAAATGTTTACATTGGTTGCTAACAAGACATATTCCTCTACAGTTCTTGGGTTCAGAATCGTCTCTTATAAAAAAAAAAAAAAAAAAAAAAAAAAAAAAAAAAAAAAAAAAAGTTATACATCTAGTTATAAAAATTGACTAATAATCGGGGGGGGGGGGAACCCTTTCGTTCAGAGGTTTATCTTTTTAAACTGAACGTTAAGAAAATTGCTTTCAAATTACCACATTTTGAAGATTTTTTATGAGCAATAATGATTAGAGATTTTTGAACCGATCACCATTATTCCGACATAGGCCACTTAACAGGTTATAAATTACCATCTCTTAAAATCACACACATTTATATTTTTCTGTACATGTATACTGCAAAAGAAAAAAAATATATTTGTCTTGAAGTTTATTTTAAGCAGCATATTTTTTTTGTAGGACATATCAACATAAGCCTGAGTATTCAATCTATTGAGACAGGACTAGTGATTGTGTCAACACCTTATATTGTCTACAATTGCAGTAGTTTTACCAGGTTGATCGAAAAACAGGAAGATTAACTGTTTCAAAATTTTGATTAGAATTTAAAAGTTTTGGAAGAGTTGTTCTGTATTTTTAGTAAATAATTCTTTAAAAACCCTGATTTTGACTCTATTTTTTTTTTCAGTTGTACTAGATGTGTGGACAATGTTTACTGGTGTGACTGGTGTATGAGAGAAAACAAGTGTCAGTATAATACTGATTTCTGCTCGGGGGAAAGTGTCAGAAGTCGAAATGTAAGTATTTTTTTATGAAATGAAACAATATTTTTGTTTGCAAATAAAATAATAGCAGCATTTGATTCTTTAACGTTTGGCTTTACTTCCACTTTCAAAATCAACAAATAGCTCTTTCAATGCTCAAAAATCGAATATAATGAAATTTTGTATATGAACTGTTTGTCAATGTGTCTTCCGATATTTAGCACGTGCCATACGTAAGTACTGCATTAAATGCGATAAATAATTCATTTTCAGGTTTTTCTATCATTTGAAATTTTACTGTGTTGCACATTCGACGCGAAGAATTAATATCCGCGGTATTTTCGCGATCAAATTCGCAACTGAACCACTAAAAACGCATAGACTTATAGTACACACAACTGTTTTGAATCACTAATTTTAGATAGAAATGGTATAATTGTGCATATTAATATGATATTTTATTAGGGTCAATCCTTAGATTTCCTAATGACAACACTTAAGAATAATTACGAAATTGTCATATTAAGAGTAATTTACATATCAAGTGGAAAACAAATTTATATACAATGCATAATTTCTTTTTCAGGATACTTATCCACAAAACGGCATAAAATATATTGTGAGTTTATTTCCACTATAGCTATAGTTGTTTGTTTATCTGCTTGCATATGTTTCTCTTAATAAACATTTTACAGGCGATTGAAAATTTGACTTAAGTTTAAGTCTGTTTCATGATCAGCGACCAGACGTCCAGATCATTTAAAAAAAAAGACTCAACTAAGCTAGAACTGCGGCCATAAAAAATGAACGCTTAATACTACAGCAAAACCCCTATAAACAGTTACATATTTACAGGTAGAGTTCAAGCAAAGGATCTATTTCCCAAATACATTTAATAACTGATTTTTCATGTATCTTTCCCTTATGAGAGTAAAAAGATAATGACTGACTCAGCTCGATTTTGTATGTGAGGAATTTTATTTCTCTGAAGTATCAGTCAATACTACAACATCAGCAACCATGATAGAAGATATCCCCATTTCACTCCAATTTAGCGATTAATTTCAAATCTTTTGTTTTTATCAGCAGCTCACTATGTAATTGCGTTTCTTTATATATGAGATGCGAGATTTTGTGTACAATAACAAAATTTTTAACTCATTTTCCCCTTTAATGATCGTGTTTTGCAACAACCCCAATATTGTGAGCTGTTAAAGGGAACCTGCGAATTACAGGACTGCAGGAAAGATAGTTGTAGACCTTTGCACAAATATTTTTTTTTAAATAATTTTTTTCTCTCCCCTCAAAAAAAAAAAAGAAAGAAAGAAAGAAAGAAAAAAAAAGAAAATTTAAAAAATAATAATTATTATTACACGCAGGTAGGTTAAGGCTTCCCGTAGAATATCACAGTGCACTCTGTGCCTTCACTTCTCTGAACTTCCAGAATATTACTTCATAATGGAAAATGACGTCAAGTCACTGCCAACTTGAGGTGCTATGACGGGGAGAGTGTCATGAACTTTACACTTTAATTCAAACTGCATGTAAAATGCTAGATATCTAAGTGAAATTCACGGGTTGTTAAAGGTTTTTAAGTCTTATATGGCCGAATATTTTAAAAATACATCGCTTACATGCCCTTGATTGAAATTCAGCATGTTCAAAATGCTTACGAAAAATATGCTTTTGAAATGTTCTCTGTTTTATACCCGTGGTTGGAGGTAGAATTTATTTTGTGTGTATTAAAGAGTCTGGCGCAGGTGATCAATGAGAATTAATTTGAGATTTTTCGTGGAAATCTGTGAGCAGAGATTGTTCTCTAACTGAATCTTGCTTGGGGGAAATTTGTGATGGCTTTGTTTTAATACAGATCATGATATTGTGTGGAAAATACCTTCAAATTTGTAGGTAAGTTGAATTTCTCATGAAAAATTTTATACCCAAGTAATTCTATGACTTTTCCCAAGCACATTTCGGGTACACAAGGATAGAGTGAGTTTATTTATATAATAATATGTTAATAATGATTGTGTTAATCAGCTGCGCCGAAGCGATTTATGTGAAACACTTCAAAAAATTATAAATGACCCTTCATGTGATCAACAAAGTCATGTGATATAATAACAAATATGTTAATATATAGCGGAGGGAACCCTCTATATAATAAAAGGTACTTAAGTACAATACTTATAAATTAAAACAAAAACCGACCTCGCAATGAATTATTATGTTTTGAGAACATTTTAAAGCGTCGGGAAGCCTTAACATAGCTGCGTAATCATAAATTAAAAGTAGGTCACAAAAATCTTACATTCTATTACATGATTATTTATTGTGAATAATCCTGCAAAAAAAAAAATAATTATTAAGCAAAAAATTGCAGAGTTATCAGATTTTAATCTTAATTGTACGATTCTTCATGAAAAGGCCTTAGGGCTACAAATGAGGTGTTGCTCTGAACAGTGGTAAGGATGTGCCAGATTGACATTTCACCAAATCATCTTAAATCAAATGCACACACAGGTTCAATAAAACAATTATCTAAAAATGATTATTATATCAACATGCGACTTATTAATGTCAACATGTGACTTATTTATGTCAATATGCGAGTTATATTTTAACATGCAAGATATTTATGCCAAAATGCAAGATAATAAGTTGCATGTCAACATACATATCTCGCATTTTGACATAATTAAGTCGCGTGTTTAGATAATTATCTTGCATGTTGACATAAAAAAAGGTGCATGTCTTCCTAATTATATTGTATATTGACATAAATTAATCGCATGTCAGCATAATTCTGTTTTATCGTGGCTGTATTATGTCATATAAGGCGTAAGCAAGCAAGTTTACTAACATTAAAATTAGATTCTCTAAAGTGTAACCAGGTAACTTGCACGCCAACATTATTTTGCATTTTGACATTAATAAGTCGAAAGTCTAATATTATAATATCATAATTATGTTGCATATGAAACATAATTCGTCTTGAATGTAGGGGGCAGATATATGCAACCATAATATTGGTAATACAAAGCGCTCAATATCCCTAATTATGAAGGATCGCAATCATTGATCTATTAATTAATTCAAGCCTTGGACATTTAACCTATGATATGATCAATTCAAAACGAACATACGTCACGATATTTGCTTTTTAATGACTTGAAGGGTTTTGAAGGCAAACAAGGGAAACATTTTTGCCCCAAGGTGGACACAATTCAGACCGGTCCCTTACTGATGCCACAGGATCAATCTAAAACCATCATCGTTCAAGGAAAGAATTTCCAAGAACCAGTAAGTACTGACTTCATTTGTACAAAATTGCATTCTACTGTATCTAAAAAGGCATGATACGTAGAACTGATATTAATTTTCAACACGTAAACGAAAAAATTCAATTCGTTTGCAGCTAGTATGACCCGATTTTTAACGATTACTGAACAATAATATCATTTCCATGCCTTACAAATAATAAAGTATATTACAGTGGAATAATTTTAATTCACCGGAGTCAAATGTTCGTTGGCAATCAAAATATTACTGGTTCGTCGGGACGTAATGTCATGAGTATTTTGTGAATAAATGAGACACATAGGGTATGCAGATATATATTTTGGTACATCCCAGGGCACCCAAATTAGACCTACTGTTGAGTCACGTTTTGTCCGCCGTCACATTATGTCCGCCGTCACGAAATGTCCGCCTCTTTTTCAGAAAAAGCGTCACGTTATGTCCGCCGTCACGAAATGTCCGCTTTTTTTCCAAAAAAATCGTCACACTATGTCCGCCGCCACGAAATGTCCGCCTTTCGTCCGAAAAAATCGTCACACTATGTCCGCCGTCATGAAATGTCCGCCTTTCTTCCAAAAAAATTGTCATATTATGTTCGCCGCCACGAAATGTCCGCGCCTTTTCTCGGTAAATTCGTCACTGGTCACATTATGTCCGCCGTTAAGAAATGTCCGTCAATATTTTGGATTGGAAATATCGTCCGAAAAAATCGTCACACTATGTCCGCCCTTACAAGATTGAAAATAACGTTATATTTCATTATTATCATTTCAGTGTGTCCCCCTATTATCCAGCCTTTTTCTTGATATGTCTTTTCGCGCAATAAAATATATATTTCTTTAACCACACTTGTAATAATGTCTGCCTTCAGAAATATCCGCCAATTTTATAAACGAATAAAAAAAACTTTTCTTATACTGTATACACAATCTCGTGTTGATACTGAAAATTGGATATATTATTTCTATGTTTGCACAGGTGCATGTACAAGCTTTGAATATTTTTAAACAATAAAATGTTTTCTTAGTTTGTTAGTACTAGTTTATGAATTAATATTGCAGCTGTTGTAGAAATATATAAGAACGTTTATTGTTTATATTTATATCTATATACTTTACTGACGCTAAACGGCATTGGTTTTTTTAAGAAACGAAGGAAATAATACTCAGTGGATGTAAATATATAGGAGTTGTGTTGAGCTCAAGTCGGTTTTTTTTTTTCAAAATACAATATATAGATACTATACCGGTGTATGAAAGTTGTCTGTTTAAGAAAAAAAAAATTACAACGGTTTATTTTATCTGACTTGGCTACAAAAGATTTCAATAAGTGATTACGCATTAAAAAAAAAAATAAATGATTTCATTGAACTATATTATTTTCGGACGAAAAATGGATATTTGTTATTAAATTTCGCTAAATTATATATTTGAGAATCCAATGGTATGTTGCTTGAAATATTTACAAATGTTGGATTTATTGTATCTTTTTTTAAAATGACGTGTAAATATAAATTTCCTATGGTTTTTTTTTTTAAATATGATAAAATTTTAATTTCTCAAAAGACAGAATATAACGACATTTTTACTTCAGCAGACAAGGATAAAGCGCGTTTTACAATGTGTCAAGCATTTTCCCGCCAAGGAGAAGAAATGCAGTAGCTGATCTGATGGAGTTGTGGGGGTTTCAACATCCTCCTTTGGATATATTAGAGAGAGAGAGAGAGAGAGAGAGAGAGAGAGAGAGAGATCCCAAATATTTGTTGTGTTTTACTAAAGTAAATGTTCCGTGAGAGGCTTTCTATAATTATGCATGAAGAAAAATCGGTAATTGAAATAAAATCCGCGCCTGCAATGTCGCATGCAGTTTTATGTCACCGGGATATATTTATAGATTAATATATGATAAATTTTATTAATAACAGATCAAGCAATTTCAGTTTGTTGCCTCATAAAAGGAACAACTGGTCTGCGGCCGATTTTTGACGCTAGAGTCAATATGTATCTTGTTTACCAAATTACAGGGTTTTGCGCAAGTTATGACAAGTTTATAGCAGGAGTTGGCGTACCTATCAATTGTACAAATTTCAGAGAAGTATGAATAATACGTAATACTATAAAAATGTGTATTTTTTATAGGTATTACGTGTATTTTTCTGGGTAAAATTGATAGGTATGCCAACTGCGATGTTTCTACGTCTGTATTCAGAGGTATCTTTTCGAATAATTGAATGGCCCTTAAAAGGGCCGTTTATTTCCTACTCATAGGAGCGACTCTTGACTGCTTTGCTTATTGAAAGCATGAAGAGGACCATTCCCGCCTCGTTGAAGTGTGTTTCATCGGGAAGGTAATGTCTGGGTAATTTGACGTCTATTCTGATGTAGGTTCTGCCAAGGATTTTCTTCATCTTATTGTTGACAGTCCTCCGTCTTGCGTCAAACTCCTCTCGCTGCATAGAAATTCGAAATTTTCCCCTAGAGACAATCTCTGTGAAGAAAATCTCAGGTTGCCGGGGACTCAAGACTTTAATTTGGTGGAAAAGGCTTGTCAGACAGCCAATGACTGTAGACGGCTCGGCTCCACTGGAAATGTCGTTTCCCCCTAAACACACGACATCTTGGAGATGAGATTTGGACAGGGTTGAGAGGCTGTCATGCCACCAACTCCAAACCACCCTACTTTTAATGGCATAACAAAGTCTGTAAAGTTTGAAGCTCGCTTCACGTAGGAGGAACCGAGGAAGGCGACTCTCATGATGGCTAAAAATTAAAATTGCAAAGTTCATAGTTATAACAAACTCGAGGCAAATTATGAAATTAAATAATTAAATTATTAAATTAAATAATTATCACCTCACTCTCTCAACTTATGATTCAAAATGCAGTTGTCAAATTAAAAATAGCTATTACGTATGATTAAAAAATTTAATTTCTAAAGTTATACCGTTTGGGCTTTGAAATCAATTATCGGGACTCTTATTAATGGGAAATTAGTTATTAATTAGTAATGCTTAAATATACTCATCGATAAGTATGCTGTGAGTACTAAAATTACCGCTTCACTGTTAAAAAAATTTACGCATTACCTCTACTCTCCATTTAAATTTCGGGCGCTCATTACCCCTACATCTTATCAATAAGACGATTAACTCTCATTACCGCTACATACACGAATCTGCCATCGATGACTCAGAAATTGAGTCCTATATTTATATAATTTACCCACAATGTAGTCGAATAACAATTAAATTTGAAATCTATTTAATTCAGTTTGTTATCGAAAATCGAAATACTATAAGACATTCAAAAATTCCAATGTCTGGAGATGTGAAGGAAAAAGCACTCAGAAATGTGTCTTTTAGAAAATTGCTAAGGATTTAAAATAATAAAGTGTGGAAAAAACTTTACCAAATAAAAACCCTTTTACTTTTAATGAGCATGGAATACGTATCTTATGCATGTACGTGTACATTTTTCTGTACGTATAAGGCGCTGGCTAATGGAAGAGGCATTGTAGCGGTAATGTTTACTCCTCTACGTAGAGAATTAAAAATTGATCCAAAAATAAAAAAATAATGTAAAAATTTAAATTGGTTTAACATCTATTAGATACCCCCCCCCCTCCCCGACTTTTTATCGACGCGCAATATAAATATATACTGTGTTATGAAACATTGCAGCGAATTATCATTTCGCTGACTTTCAAACATTATGAATTGCATTGAATAAATATTTGTTAAAAGAAGTTATCGATGTCTGGAATGAAGGGGTGGGGATGGAGAGAGAAAAATTGGTCGCTGTCGACTTGATAAAAAGCTAATGAGATAGTGAGGCCCGATATCGATAATGACAGTGCTCCAAAAAACGTGCATAGTTTACATGAAACTGAGTTTGTTGTTTGTTTGTTTTGTTTTGTTTTGTTTTGTTTTGTTTTTTTTTTTTTTTTTTTTTTTTTGTTGTTTTTTTTTTTGTTTTGTTTTTTTTTTTTTTTGATTAAAGAAATATTTACAGAAATCACTATGCATTAAAAATACGTGCCTGAATATTAAACAAATTTGAAATGTTCATAACATTTTGTTGGGAAAAGGGAGGGGAGTGTTGATGAAAACAAGTATGAAATTTAAACTTCAGTGAGTTGGGACAGAAAAAAGAACTGCTAAATACGTGCTTGATCCCGAGATCAAACGAACAAATAAAAAATAATAATTTTACAAGTACTAGAAAGCGTATTCCAGAAGCTTTCTGCCAATTTAATTTTGTGGAGGCTTTCAAAGTGTCCCGCCCTGTTTCTTTCTTCTTTTTTTTTTAATCTAGTAGTTTTGTTTTCTGTTCAGAAGAAAATTGGAAATTTGTTGGCATCGATCACACTCACCGTTTAAAGTTGCTCCCCGTTTGTATTAATTAGAAGTCGCGTCGCACTAGGAGCATGTGGAAATACAGGTCGTCGGCGGACTTGATTTTCTAATTACATTTATTAGAACTGTTTAGTAAAGGCTAAATAGACACCATGTAATGTGCATTTTTTTTTAACAATATCGAACCTGAATATGTACAAGTATTTGTGGTCATTTATTCTTTGCATTTGTTTTCTAGCAATGTCAATCACCTAGTTGTTCTTGGGGTGTAATTGCTCTTCTTTTTTTCTTTAAGGACACAAATTCTCTGAATAAGTTTGTTAAAAATTATTTTCACCTTACCTGTACTAGGAAGCAAATTCTAGGAGATTTCTGCCAGTAAAACTGTTGCCCAACTCTTGCCACGTGGAGGCATCTCCTGTTAAGAGTCTTTTTATTCTCTTTTTTTTTTAAATAAATACAATAGTTCAATAAATAAATAAATATTTTTCTTCTGTTACACGTTTACCTATATTTCCGCGAAATGTGGATCCAACTGGAAACCAACTCGTAAGGAGACAGGCCGTTCCACATTTTAGCATTACGTTATGCATTTGGCGCGAATGGTGGCTCCAACTGGAAGCCTAATCAGAGGGAAAAGGCCATACCA